AATTTTAAATAATTTTAGAAAATTTAGTTATGAAAATTACGAATTTTACGTTCTATATAAATTATAATAAATATGTACAGTGTTTGGACCGCTTTTTATCCGCTTTCACCATTCAAACATACATTTTGGACAGCTAGATCCGCTTGATACGCAATTATACCGCTTGATCCGCTCAATACGTATTTGTTCCGCTTGATCCGCTCGTTCCGCCTGATACGCTTTCTCCATTCGGACCCTTATTTACAAGATCTATTGACAAATGCGTTTATGACTTTTCTGTCTTCAATTCTTTGCTTTTTTATTACGACTTCAATTCTTTGCTCTGTGCAGCTTTGGACTCGAGAAAAAGATTTGGAATTATAAAAAGCAGTTGAAGTGTATGGTGCGAATTTGATGTGGAGAAAGATTGGTGAGACCATAAAAATGCTTGGAAATATTTGATACGCACGCCACATTCGTCTCAAGGAGGTATATATAAATTATTATTTTTTATACTTAAACCTCCTTCTCTCTTAGAATGTTTAAAAAAGGGGAGAATGAAGATGTTATGTCTTGTGAGCTTAGTGCTGATACACCAGAAGATTTGATTGAGGGAGAGTTAAAATATCTTGTTTTGTGTTGTGTTATTTGAGGTACTTGTTAAAAGCATGAGTTCTAAGCCTCAGTCATCAAGGTCTTATGGTGAATAAAGTTGCGAAATGAATGTGGATGGTGAAATGATCGTTCGTGTTATTTGTGTTTTGTGTACAACTGATAAAGCTAGATCTAGATAATGGAGTGAAGAATAGGTTCACAACACTGTGTAAGTAGAGAGCTAAGTATGAAGCCATGGCTAAAGAGAACAGGATTGCTTCTTGTGTGAACTCAAACAACAAAATAAAGTTTTTACAATAACATCTCTAGACTTTCTTTCCATTTACCAATAACATCTCTAGACTGTCCAACCATTTCTTTCGAATACAAAAGTGCTTTTGCATATGGTTACAGGTCAATAACAAGATCCTGCACCAATTTCGAATACAAGTGCATTTACAGTTATATCTCTAGAAATTCCAACCACAGATTTCGAATATAGAATTGCAATTGCATAAGATTCATGAACAAATTCGTGCAGCTATGTCTCTCTATAAAAATTCCAAACCACGTACGAACCATCACCCGTAATGTAGACTATTCCTCGAATCCGAGAAACTACACGCCGTTTCTATTTCGGAAAACCACACGTAGTCTTTCTTGGCAAAAAATGTGACTATTGTAAGGCTCGAAGTAGGTAAAGCCCAATTACAAATTGGTCATGTTTGTTCAAGTTTATCCATATCTCGAATTTTGCATGAAGAAATTATTGCCTTGCCTATATAACAGACACTTTATGAGTCTCTCTCAAGTCACAATCACTTTATTCCCTCTTCTTTCACAATCTCTCTCAACTAAATCACCTACGAAAACTAGCTATG